TCTAATTAGGCTGAAAAAAACAGCTTTCTTCAATGTAAATTACAAAGGTCATATATCAATGTTAAGGAAACATTACCCCTAGTGTTTGAAATCCAGCACATGCAAACATAACAGACCAGTTCATTTTAAAATCTTTGTGTGTATGTGTGCGTGTGTGTGTGTGTGCAGGAAGAAAGCTGAATAAAATTTTCATTTTAAAATGAAAAATGCTCAAAATTCCCAGTTCATAATATTGTATGTTACATTCTTGCCAATCCAAACATAAGCTCCTTTAAAGCATTACTATCTATACTACTATACACACTCAAGTGAATTAAGACTCTTAATTATAAGTACAATTAAAAATTTACAAAACTAATTTTTATTCTTCCATTAAAAATGTGATTAGACACATCTTACAATTAAGTGCTTATCAAGTCAAGAGCATTAATCAATGACTTTTATGTTCCTACTTGCAACTTACAGCTTTGGCATTTTGTATCCCAGAACGGAATTGGGCCTTCTATGAGCCTGACAATGGAAGTAGTAGTACAGGCGTGCAGAAATGTGTAGCTAGGCTGCACAGAACTATTTCCTTCTGGTTAAATATTTCTAAATTTAAAACTTTGTTAATACTATTTGATCTCTGTATCTGATTGCTTATAAAAATCATTTTTACTGTAGATATATGTAGCTTTTATTTGCTTCTTAAAAAATGTCATGATATGAGACTATTTAGCAAAAGTACAAATAAATGTTAGCATTAATCTGGGATTTAGTTTGAGAAACACAAATAACATACAATAAGGTCTCCTGGTCTTGAGGTAAACAATTATGTAATAATTTCTTTTGTCAATTGAAATTGGTTTTCTTGATTTTACATAATTTTTACATGAGAGAAAATTTGATTGTTTGAGAATAAAAGAAAATTGCTAGAGTATCTCTAAAGCTTTCATAGATTAAACACATGATTAATGCCTCCTCTTATTTTAGAATTTTATTCTCAAAGAGCTTAGAATTTCTTGGAAAAAGGAACCTATTTCTACATATGTTATATTATTTTTGACTGCACTATAGGAAAGAAGAATAATTTTATATAACATTTTTTATTGATAAATAATTCATTTCCTTAATGGGTTAGTTTCAGGGAAACATAGATTACATTCTTTCAATGAGATTTATTGTTAGACACATAGTCATATATGTTATAATTATTTCTGACATAGGGTTACATAAATGAGTTATTTATGAATAATTTACTATTACCTTTCTAATATTAAAGCTTTAATTTGTTGATGTTCTGCATGTACACCAAATGAAAGTTCCTAATAAGTGTTTGTATTTGACATCTGTATACTATACTTTTTAGCATATCTCAAGTGTTTTCAGCTCTGCTTAATAGAGCTCATTAAAAAAACAGATATCAGCCCCAAGACACTTTGTCAAGACTAATATGAGTCCCCCTGGATTGGATTGACAATTTGTGTGAGACTTCATATGATAGTCTTTTCATAGTCTTATTTGATCCTTAACAATTGGACATTAGTCACTGATTTATTTTATAATAACTCATATGAGTTGAGTATTATTGTATTGTATTGGACATTTTAGTGGATTTTCTTTTTTACAAATTTTACTCAGAGCACACATTGGATGTAAATGATGTATCCAGCCTGCTAGGGGAGTACTAACAATTGATTGGTTGGGTTTGAGAGCAGCCTGGGAAGAAGGTTACTGTCCCCTAGCTGCAAACCGTATTTAACTCCAGTCTTAATGAGGACTGTCTGTCCTAAAGGCTTTGAGAAATCTCAAATGCTTAGCATTCCTCTGCCGTGTTTTTTTGTGTGTGTATGACTAAAAATATGAATATAAATAAGTATTTTATATAGAGTAATTTTAATCTTAACATATAAAAAGGGATTTGAAGAATTGTTAATATAAGTTTTATGATTTATGTTTTTGAATCTCAAAAATAGAAGTTATAAAATGTAATCCCAGGGTATTCTGTTTTGAATTATTTGTATATTTTTCCCTCAATAATTTCCTCCTGTGTGTCTTTACGTTTTCCCTCAGGTCTTTAGTAAGTGCATTTTTTTATTATTGCACACTTTGGTTAGGCACTTGTCATTCACTGATAACCAAAGGATGTTGAGGTGCTGACTTTGTACTGATGTAATTTTAAAACTTCTTAGAATTCTTTTATATCCACAGCAGTTCCTCTTTTGAGTCCTTTTGAAAGCTTTGGTATATTGCAAGAAATGCTTTCAGACCACTAGTGAGATTTTTAGTTTTTAAAAATGTATTTTAAGTTTATTCATGAAAGTAGCATGTTTGTCAAATTCTGGAAGAGATTTTTGCCAGAAATCCCATGAATTAGTGGTCAATCCCTTAAGGACTGGCCAGTATGACAGTGTGACAGTGTAAGAGAGGCCTGAAGCCCGGATGGCACCGTGGACATCTCTGCATGGCGTTGCACTGCAGTCTAATGTGTGCTTACAGTGCCTTGCATTTCCACATTTTTGCTTAACATTCTGGTGTGTCAAGATGTAAAGGTTTGAGCATTTAAATGTGACCAGTCTCACCATTTTGAATGTGTGTAAAGAAGTAATCAACATTCGGAAAACACAATTCTTTGTTTGATGACACATAAAATAAAATTGGCCTAGTTTTTAGAGCTTTAATATTGAAAAAATTCACTTGTACTTTATCATTTGCTGAGCCTTCCAGAATTTTATAGTCTCAAATCACAAGGCCACAGACACTCAGGAGACTCCTGACTGTTTTATCTTATTAAACAATTTTGAAATCATTAATTTTTAATTAGCTTGGATGCACGGTTTTTTATCGTTTCAATAGTGTGTGTATAAACGAAACGTTTTTTATTTAAACTACTGGCGAGAGTATTATTTACATAAATAAGTGTAGGTTCCTTCTGAGAGTTCATACTGTGAGGTTTCTTCATTTGGTCTACTTCTTTTCTAGGCTCAGAGATATTACATGCTAATCTGTTACTGTAGAGCTTTTCAGCGGTTTATTAACTCAGATTTTGAACAACAACTAAAAAGGATGTAAGCTGGAAGATACGTATAGGTCCTTCCCTGATTGAAAGTTCTAATTAAGTGAATTGGAGAAAATTAACTGAAATTAGCTGTCAGAAAGTCACATTTAAATGAGTGATGATCTAGTCTGGCAGTAAACATTTAAATGATATAAATTGCCATTTAAGTGTATGGTTTAATGTTTGTCATGCATTAATGTGACATGAGACTGCAGTGACAATCAAGCAGCTTGCTCTAATTTGAACATATTTAGGGCTTTTGTGTAGAGTGCACTGCACACAAATTAACACAATTGCTGTTTTTATGTGTCACTTAAAACATGTCCTCCACTCTTCCTATCCCTACCCAAGGCTTAAATTAGTGGAAAAAACGTATCATTTTTGTGTGCAACTTGCATTAATAGTTCCTAGATTGGGGGATTAATTTTAAATCCATGTAACTTAAACCATAAATTCACTTAAAGTTATTACAAACCCTTCTCTTTGTATTTCAAATAAAGTATGAAGTACTTCTGTGCTCTCTTAGGTGTTGACTAAATTTGTAAATATAACAAGTTTTGTAAGAGATGCCTAAAATAGTGACTGTCACAATTGAAACAAGTTAAATGTTTTTAGGCACATTTCAATTCAAGTATACTTTGCATATGAGAATTACCTAGAGTTTTATTTACAGAATTATTTTTCACGTTTCGTAGTATGTGACATATTTGTGAAGCCATGTGAAATATTATTAGTTAAAAGAAACAGCTTATTTGAATTCAGCCATAAACGTTGTTCTTATTCATAGGCACTCATTTCTGTAAAGCATGTATTTACACAAGTGTACACCTGTGAACTTTGAGGAATGTCTTATGCAGTGAGATGGCTTATAGCTTATTGGTTGCTTGCTATAGAAGTCAGTCGCTTTTATTTTAAAACCAACAGATTTCTTTTTATAATATTGATAACATAGCTGCAAGCCGCATCAAAAATACGTCCCAGCCATATATTTATTACTCAAAAAATAAGAATCTCAATGAGATACATTATCTGATATAACTGATGATACTTTAGCATTCAGAGCTTTGAGTTTGAGAGCTCTGGGATTGGAATAGCATTCTCTATGGGTCAACTAGTCTATAATGTTAAACTTCTATGTTGGAGTAATTTTGAACAGTATTAAATAATATAAATATGAATACTTTCCTAAAAAGTAAGTTTCTGGTTTTGAAACTCTTTAATATTTCCAACTTTATTCAGTTCAACATTTATTGGTACCTATTTCATTGTAGATACAGTGGTGGTAGCTGGGAATATAATTAATTAGAAGTGGATCTTGTGCCCAGCATTTCCACTGGATACTTGATTATGTTCATTTATTATTTATTGGATACTATTATGTTGATAGCATCAAATATTTAGTCTGGTTTGATATTAATACTTAGAATAATAATTTAGTAATTATAAGTGTTCCTCTTAGATCTCGTTTGTTGGCATAAAAATTCAGTTGAAATACCTAAATAATTTGGTTACAGTTGCAGCAGACAACAAAATGTTTGTATCTGGAAAAATAATAAATATTTCAAGCAGATAGGAAATGTTTAATGTTTCCTTATTTGCTGCCCCAAAGTAGCCTTTACACTGTCTGACATTCTTTCTTTCATTGCATGACATTCAAGCATAAATTGAGTACTTGTCAGGCCCTGAGTCACAAATGGGACCAAGACAGACTCAGTCCTGGGCCACACAGTGCTTACAGTTCAGTACAGTAATCCTGAGATGGAAGCAGTCTACTACAGCTCAGCAAGATGAGTGCTGGAAGTCTTTAGAAACAAAGAGAACAGATTCTGGTGGAAAATAAGACATCAGAAAAAAGTCTGTTCACAGTAAATTTGGTGTTAAGTTTTACTGCTTATCCTAAATTTCTCTGTATATTTTAAAAATAGAATTCAGCATAATAATATGATCCACATCTTTTTTCTAGGCCCTGGAGAGTGAATTTGTTTCCTGTCAGCTTCATCAGTGGATTGATCTCATTTTTGGCTATAAACAGCAAGGACCAGAGGCTGTTCGGTCTCTCAATGTGTTCTATTATCTGACCTACGAAGGAGCTGTCAATCTGAATTCAATAGCTGATCCTCTATTGAGAGAGGTAAGTTATCACACTGAACTAACAGGTATCTTTAGATTTGAAGATACTATGTACTTCTTCCCCATACTTTCATTTATGGGTGAAGTGACTTAAGTGACTTAAGTAATAACTTTCCAGTTAATGACCTTGCTGGGACTTGAACCCAGGACTTCCCTCCAGTAAAATGTTTGACTCAGTATAAAATGAGAGCTTTTTCAGTTTGAACCCACTAAGGGATCAATAATCATAAAATTTTTATAACTTTGAAGGCTATTTACTAATTTACAGTATTAAGAAAATAGCAATTCATTAAAGAAATGATTGTAAGCATAAATATAAGTGTGATACAATAAATAAGTGCACACATGACCATACAGAAGTTAATAGTAGGAATGCAGTCTAAAACTTTCCGACATCAACAAACTTGCTGGTAGATATTACTGAGACTTATTTAATATGTGTCATTTATTTTCTTAGGTAGAACACTCAGAACATAGTTTTGAAAGGTTACAGTATTCACCAGAAAGTCTGTATATAGCCTCACTTTTAAAAAAATATTTTTAATCTAATATGCCTCTTCCTAACTCTAACATACATCATGGGCAAAGATTATGGATTGAACAGATACCACCTTAAGTATCCATGCCAGTTGAGAACAGAACAGAGCTATATTTAGAAACCAGGACTTTGATTCATAGGGAAAGTTGCATATCATTTTAAAGGGAACGTTATTTGTAATAAGTAAGGTTTGTCATTTTTCACCAGCACTTGATGCATTCCTCTGTAACTGTACTTATGACCTGGTTATGTTGAGAGTATACATAATAAGTGTACACTTAAATATATTTGCCAATGTATATCATCACCTTGTTTATGTGCTAGATAAAGGAGAGTACACAAACCAAAGTATCATGGGCATTTGTCTAAAATTCCACAGTTTTTGAACTGTTATTTTTCAGTTTAGAGCTGGATCAAACAAACTCTTAAAGACTCTTCCAATTTTTCCCTTCCTTGAAAATGTTCCTTCCAGGGGACATTTTTTTTTATTAGAGCAACAACTGACTGCTCCATATATGAAACTGAGGTTAGAACAAACATGCAGATGATCTTACAAAACAGTGCAGAATTCCACTGTTAGAATGGAATAGCCTAGGCCCATCTACTTTGTTTACAACATTTATTTTTTTTATACTATTTGAACACTGCTACTTTGTTCTATAAATGTTCACAGTTCCTCACCAAATACACCCCCTGTTTTTGTTTTTTCATGTTCCCTTCTAGTAATTATCCACATATCTACATAACTGCCATATGTCTGAAATCACAGTATAGGTTTGATTTTATAATCTCCTGTTTCATTTAACATAACAGCATATGTTATTTTATGTTGCTATATAATCTGTGTAGTTTCAAATTTGAAATTCCATAATATTCTGTAGAGTTGTTATAAAAATGCAGTTAGCCCTGTTCCCGCAATGTGGGTCTTGTGTTTTCAAAAAGACTTGTCTAATGGTGTTCAAGAAGATAAAACTATACCTTTCATGTCGTTAGAGTTTATGCAGCATTTGCTTGATAAAGGATGCCTCTCAGCCTGTATCTGTGTGACATTGCTAGTTAAAAAGTGAAACATTCAATCAGCCGGTTGTTTCCTCTACAGAGCACTCGGTGTCATTGGTTCTTTGTGTTCTGGATTGATCACCTCTCTTTCTTGCACACACCAATGATTTACCAAAGGAGTTTATCATATACTATTTACAACAGAATCTAAAAGAGCCCTGTCCAATAGAATTTTCTGCAGTGATAGAAATGTTCATTATGTTTACACTGTCCAGTAAGGTAGCCACTAGTCAGTCACATGTGACTATTGTGCATTTGAAATGTGGCTAGTGTGACTGAGAAACTGAATGTTCAATTTTAGTTAATTCAAATTTAAATAGCCATATATGGTTAGTGGCTACTGTATTGGAAAATATTATATATCTTTGGTTACCATATTTTCTGAATCCAAGTTCAGGACATGTGGTCAAACAATATGTCTTTATTAAATTGGTAGAATATATGAAATTGGGCATATTCCATTCAGACATTAGACATGCAGTTAAAATATATGTGTAAGCTAAATCATATCTTTCACTTTCACTTATTGATGACTTTAATAATGTTTTTTATTGTGGTAAATATAACATAAAATCTATATTTTAACCATTTTTCAGTGTATAATTCAGTAGCATTAAGTACTTCACATTGTTATGCAGCCATTACTACTCTCCATCTCCAGAAGTTTTTCATCTTCCCAAAATGAAACTCTATGCATTAAACAGTCATTCCTTATTCCCCTCTGTCCTCAGCCTTTGGGAACTACCATTCTACTTTCTGTCTCTAGACATTTGACTACTCAGGTACCTCATGGTAGTGGAATCACATAAAATGTGTCCTTTTGTGCCTGATTGATTTATTTAACATGTCTCTAAGGTTCATCCATGTTGTAGTATGTGTCAGAATTTCCTTCCTTTTTAAGGATGAATAATATTCCATTGTATTTATATACCACATTTTGTTTATCCATTCATCTGTCCATGGACATTTTTGGTTGTTTCCACCTTTGGCTATCATGAATAGAGCCACCATGAGCATCACTATGTGAGTATCTGCTTAAGTTCTTGCTTTCAATTCTTTTGGATATAAACCCAAAAGTAGAATTGCTAGATTATATGGTAATTCTACATTTAACTTTTTGAGGAACCTCCATGACAAATAACTTTTTAGTGTTTATTTTTCATGATCAGCATTTGCTAAAGATGATTTAGAACTTTTACTTTAAGTTTCTTTGGCTACTTTTCTTCCCCACAACTCCAAGTAGTTAATTATTAGCAAATTTTACTAGGGAGTTTCCACTCATTACATCCTAATTTATTTTTATCATATGTATTTATAAACATATCTATTATATGTTAGATTCAACATTCATTCAGAAAACATGGCCTATTACATTCTGAGTATGGTAGGTATTTGCTGTTCTTGAAAGGAGAATACAGTAGTCCCCCCTCATCTGTGGAGGTACAATCCAGGACCCTCAGTAGATGCCTGAAACCACAGGTGGTACCAAACCATATATTACTCTTTTTTTTTTCCTATACATACATACCTATGATAAAGTTTAAATTATAAATTAGGCACAATAAGTCATCAACAATAACTAATAATAAAATAGAACAATTATAACAATATACTGTAATGAAAGTTTGTGAGTATAGTCTCTTTCTCTCACAATATCTCAATGTGTGTACTCACCCTTCTTTTTGTGATGATCTGAGATGATAAAATGCCTGCATGACGAGATGCAATGAGGTGAGTGATCTAGACATTGGGATGTAGCCTTAAGCGCTATTGACCTTCTAACTATATATCAGAAGGAGGATCATCTGCTTCCCAACCAGCTGACCTTGGATAACTGAAACTGCAGAAAGAGAAACTGCAGATAAGGGGGGACTACTGTCTTATCATTTTGTTGCTTAGCACTATTCATATAAATATACATGATTAATTCACAAAGCTTTCTAAATGTTATTAAAATACATATAATCCTATATTATAACCATTCCATATCATAGTGGCACAATGCAGTGTGATACAGTAGAATAAACAAATGGACCAAGAGATAAGTATATGTGGATTTGATTCCTGGCCCAGTATAGAGTTTGGTATACTGTATGCATGCACGAGCATAGATGAGGCCGACTATTTGTGTGACTTGAATCTTCCTGAGGCTCTGTTTCCTCATCTGGAGAAGTGGTAAGACAGTGTGCACCCTATGAAGCATTAGATGAGGCGCAGTGCATGTCAAGTGCCGGGCATGGGCCTATCTCATCAGAAGTACAAGTGCTAGTCCCTTCCCTTATGTTGTTCATTCTTCAACCCACGGGTTAGGACACACAGCTATAAAAAGAATATGGATTACTGGTTGTATCATAGAAAGAATTATAAATGTTAATACTAGAGATGTTATTAGAAACCATTTCCTAGAGAACACATGCAGAGTTCATTGTAAAGTAAGTCAAGAGAACAGAAAACAAATATAGGTCATTAACTTACTCATTTTTTTCAACAGCCTTTTATTAACCCAAATTATGTAATAAGGTTACAGAATTGAAAGGCAAGTCCTTGCCCTCATTAGCTAGAGTTCATTGTCTAGAGGAGAAATATGGATAAGTAAACAATTATAATATACTGTGATAAATTCAGTATAGAGTTTGGTATACTGTATGTATGCACGAGCATAGATGATAGACCCTAAACCCAGACTGCAGGAATCCAGGCATGTTTTCTGGGAAATGAGAGGCTGGAGCTGTAGATTGAAAGATGAATAAGAACATTGGATAGCGTCAAGAGCAAAGGACATCTACACAGAAGAAACTATATAAGCTTCCTGATAAGGTGAGAGTGAGAGAACCTGTCTGGAAGAAGATTGAATTGATAAGAATTAAGAAGAACCCATTGGATTATCCTGAGTCATGGGCATCTTCAAGCAAGTATCTTAGAAGGTTGCGGGCTGTGCTGTGAATGGGAAGTGAACAAGTAAATACAATGAAAAAAGGAAATAATTGAAGGGAGAATTTTTCTTCATTGAGATATAGATCACACATGATCCAGTTCACCCAAAGTATGAAATAACAGTAGTTTTTAGTATATCTACAGAATTTAAAAAGCATCCCCACAATCTGACTTCAGAACATTTTGATCACCACAAAAAGAAACCCCATACCCATTAGCAGTCACTGTAAGTGTGGGTTTTAGATATCTGACCATGTTTCTGTGTTAATTGGAAAGCTCCAAAAAGAGGGAAGTGTGTGACACACAGGAAAGAAAGCATGTAACAGACTACAGATCTCCTTGGGGAAGGGGAAAGGAACAAAATCAATGACACAGGTAGATAAGCACTAGGTGGCAGGCAACAATACTGCCTTGTCTGGGAGGAGAGAGTAGAAGGTTATCCTGGGGACTAGTATTAGTAAATGTGCATG